TGGTCATAAAGGGATGGACATGGTCAGCAACAATACTCAGGTAGGCTGTGGCGTTGCAACGATGCTCAATTGGTACCAAGGGGCCAAAAGAGTGCCAAGAAAATATTCCCCACACCATGACACCACCACCACCAGCCTGAACCATTGATACAAGGCAGGATGGATCCATGCTTTCATGTTGTAGACGCCAAATTCCGACCCTACCATCCGAATGTCGCAGCAGAAATCGAGACTCATCAGACCAGGCAACGTTTTTCCAGTCTTCTATTGTCCAATTTCGATGAGTTTGTGCAAATTGTAGCCTCAGTTTCCTGTTCTTAGCTGAAAGGAGTGGCACCCGGTGTGGTCTTCTGCTGCTGTAGCCCATCTGCCTCAAAGTTCGACGTACTGTGCGTTCAGAGATGCTCCTCTGCCCACCTTGGTTGTAACGGGTGGTTATTTGAGTCACTGTTGCCCTTCTATCACCTCTGACCTCTGGCATCAACAAGGCATTTCGCCCACAGAACTGCCGCTCACTGGATGTTTTTTCTTTTTCGGACCATTCTCTGTAAACCCTAGAGATGGTTGTGCGTGAAAATCCCAGTAGATCAGCAGTTTCTGAAATACTCAGACCAGCCCTTCTGGCACCAACAATCATGCCACGTTCAAAGTAACTCAAATCACCTTTCTTCCCCATACTGATGCTCGCTTTGAACTGCAGGAGATTGTCTTGACCATGTCTACATGCCTAAATGCACTGAGTTGCCGCCATATGATTGGCTGCTTAGAAATTAAGTGTTAACGAGCAGTTGGACAGGTGTACCTAATAAAGTGGACGGTGAGTGTATATGTGTGTGTGTGTGTATATATGTATATGTGTGAATAGGTATATATGTATATATATGTATAAGTATTTATATGTATATTACAGGGAGCAGAGCATATGATAGCAAAGTTTCTCTATTTTTATCTTTCTTATTCCACCTTTCATGAAACAAGTTGCATTAATGGCCGTATTTTAAAGTAGTAGACTGATTATAAATACTCGTGTTAGCTGTCTATAATCCGAACTGGACAAATAATAAACATGATTATAAAACTCTAAAGACAGTTGGTTAAGGACCACAGCTCTGCGTTCTGTTGCATCAAACTTCCGTTACCATCTCACTACATGTAGTGAGTACCAATGATTTTCAGTCATTTTTTACCCTTGCTATGCCCCAATGCTCTAAGTAACCCTTAACCTAACCAACCTAACCAGTTTGTACCTAACCCTAGCTTTAACCTTAACTTCTCAAAACTCAGCGTTTACAAATAATAACTCAGAATGCATGAAAATTACACTGGTAAAATGTTTACCAATATAGACATGTTAGACATCGTTGGAAAGCACAGATTCTCCACAATTCAACCACACAGTTAATTTTATGGACATAGCTAGCACCAAAGCACAATTATCATCGATATAGCAGCATGTCAAAATGTACCATGACAAAGCAGCCACAACAAGCAAACATGCCTTTATTACTGCTGTTAAAAAAAGACCTATTATTTTCAAGAGTAAAAAAACAACAACTTTGAGTCATGTTTAAACTGATGCGGCTTGGGCTTGATGTAACTTGGGTGTTTTACTCACCCAATTTGCGTGTATATATATTCAGAAAGTAGACGGTGTCGGCTTTCAAATAATGTATCATACATGTAATTTTGGCTTCTAGTTCCTAAGTTATTTGCTTTTCCATTTGGGTATACAAAATGAGGTGGATATTAAGAGGTTAAAGGTATAGTGGAGGATTTTTTTTTTTTTTTCCAGGGGGATCATCAAAATAAGCAGTGCTCCCAATTCTCAATCATTCACTTTAAAAAAACATGTTTTCTTTTGATACAAAACCTAAGAGTTAAACTTTCAAATATAAAAAAATAGAAAAAGGAATCTAGTTTGGATTCTTTATGTTAAGATTTAGTATTTTGAGTAGTTTTCAGATGAAACGGTGTCATATAAAAACACAAGCCACCGTATAAAAGTCACTCAGAGAGGCCTCTATCAGTTTATACATTGATTAACTTAAACAAGCCACACTTTTAAAATGTCTTACTGTGCATGTATGTAAGTTATAATTCTGAGTGACAGTGAGAACAGCAAAAAACATCAAACTCTTCTGTAGTCTTGCCTTTCATAAACTGAGATCGTTACTTCAGAATACTCTATGATCTTTAAAAAAAAAACCGCCTCAAAGATGTTGCAAATACTGGAAAGCAATATCTCAAATAGGTGTAAACCATTCGGACATCAGACGGCGGTGGTGTGAAAGTAAACACGTGCTCACATACAGAAACTGCCTCTCCTTTTCTCAGACCTCTGATCAGAGGGAGGGATGGAGGGAGTGAGGCAGGCAGAGTGCCAGGTGCCTCTCATGTTTGGGAGAGCAAACAGGCCTGTGTCTTTGATGGCAGGGAGATCAGAACAGGGGGCACATTCTATGCGGCTGCGCTAACGATGCTGCCGTCTAGGTCGGCTGCCGTGTTGTACTCTGCAGCTAGGAGACCCGCAGCATAAACAGTGTTTGGGTGTCAGATGTAAGTGTGTGTGTTCGTTCAGCGCAGCCAGCAAAGTCATGCAAACAGTCTTTGCTTTCCAACAGAGTCTCCCCAACTTTGATTTACTGTATAGTTCTTGTTTCCAGTTTAAATTTATTGCAAAAAAAAAAAGTTTTTATTGGAATCAAAAATATTTTTTGCATACTGATTAGATGAGCATTGTTTTTTTTGTTTTTTTTGACAAAGTTAAGTTACAATTTCCATCCTCAAGTTCCTGCAGCAGGATTCTGCAACCTTTAAAATCCAACAAGCCATTCCGCCCTCAGTCTGGCTATTAAAAGCTGTTTAGAGCCGCAAATTTAAAAGTTGTTTTTTAACGGATTATGACCTTATAAAGAAAAACAATAAAGGATAATGTTTGCATTTCAAACAACAACTGTTTCTTTGAATTTTTAGATTAAAAATTAGGAAAAAACATTTCAAACAGATGAACATATTTTCCACCAAAGGATAATATTTGTTAAAAAAAGAGAGACTCTTTGTCATTCTCTTCATTCAAAAAGAATGCAAAAAAATGGCTTGTAGAGAGCCAAATTTGTGGGCAATAAGGTTTTCTCTGTGTATTTAAATAATTTTACAATTAATTTTTAATCATTTTACTTGAATTTTATTTCTTAACAATAATGTTTTTTATGTAATTGGTATTGTAATTTTATCTTGTGATTTTATACTTGTGTTTATTTTTGAGGTTGCCTTTTTTATATCTGGTTGGGGGACTACCGATGAAAATTAGCACTCCTTAGCTAACTCTGGTATATTTACATTGTTTTAATGTTGATTAATGTACACTGTCCCCTTTCAAATAAACAATAAATGAAAATGAAATTAAATGAAAACAGAATTTGCAACCTAATGACAAGAAAAGTATATCTATAAAATGTTTTTTTTGTATTTCAATGTCGTTCTCTTATGAAAATTCTATCAAATATTATTTTTGTAAACCCAATAATGTTTCTAAACCGGTATTCATTATTCTAAACTGTTAGTCATTTTTCTACATCACTTTAGGCCCATATTAAGTTCCATTGTAGAGGTTCCAAAGAGCCACAAGTTGTAGACCCCTGTGCTCCAGTTGTAAAGCTCTTGAAATAAATGCGTCACTAAGGTGTTTTCATCGGCTTTTTCTAATGTGCAGCTTAGAAATCGAACCCAGAACCTGCTTGTTAAGGACAAGAGTGCTACCCACTGTACCACCGTGCAGCTGAAACCCCTACAGGTAGTTCAAAAGTGTCTGCAGTGACAAGTACATAATGGCATCCATCATACTTCCATCTCTGATCAACAGATTTAAATAGGACACGTTATTTGGCTGAGGAAAAAATGATGTTCAGCATTTTTCGAATATGTGTGACAGACTTTAATCAGGATAAACTAAATAAAAACAAAATGCACTCAAAAATATTCTTATTTTAAAGCTATTTAGAATAAAATAATTCAGAAATCACTATAACTAAACCCTTTTAACCACAAAAGTAGGCTAAAATAAAATATCTAAAAAGATGTGCAACAAAATTTCAGAACGGATGAAAAAAAAAAAAAAATCTTCATAGGTTTCAAGGTTTTGGGATTCAGCGTTGATGTTTCAACGTAAGGTGAAAAAAAGACCAATTTCACATTTGTGAAAACATCTTGATGATCCCCATAGCTTTTAGATATGTTTTATGGGCTGATGAGACCAAAGTGAAATGTTTTGGTTGGCGTGCGTCCCATTAGATCTGATGGGAAACAAATAGAGAAAAAATGGCCATGCAGAGATTTTAAACATGGTGGTGATAGTGTGGTGGTTTGGCGATGATTGGTTGGTTTACATAGTAACTTGGTTTAAATGATGAAAATGTGCTTTCTTGCAGATATTATGGAAAAGTTTCAAACCTTTATTAATTTTCTTAATGCAGAAGCACAATAAGGTGCACACAAGCTACCAAAACACACCTTGCAAAGACGTTAGTGTATTTGTGTTGGCTTCCTGTGAGTTGTGGTAAAGTGTGTCTGTGTGTGGCAATGGAAAAAGGTGCTGGGGGTGTATCTGGTTTCCTGGGGTGGATGTGGTGGGGGGGCCCTGACATTATGCAAATCAGCTGAGCATCTCAGGTTTAGGAAAGGAGGGGCAGATTTGGGGGGCGCTGAATGTGTGACACACAGACGCAGAGAAATTTTGCTGCCTGATAGCGAAAGGTCGGGGCCGTAGCTTTTCTCGACAGCTGCGAGTTTCACCAGCTCCCCACAGCTGCACCTCTTCGTGATGAAGGAGCGCTGCAGCCGGGGGCCACAGCTAAAGTTTGACCCCCTTCAGGAGCAGCCTCAGCAGAGCCTTGTGCCGGTATCTCTGGGTGAATGCTGCCCTGGAGCCGCTGGGCAACACTCGGGCTCAGTGAACACCATCCTTCCTGACAGCATGTCTCTCTGTGCCGCGTGTTTGACAGATGAGGCGTACCAGAAGCTGGCTATGGAAACCATGGAGGAGCTGGACTGGTGTCTTGACCAGCTGGAGACCATCCAGACCTACCGGTCTGTCAGTGACATGGCCTCCAATAAGGTAAGCGAGACCCCTTTCTTTCACTATGTATTGGATTTTTAAATCTAAGGAGTGCAAACGTTGAAGCTTTATAATATTTAAAGAAATTGTACCACTTGTTGCTGTGTTTCTTAAATTGTAGATGAAATTTTAGATTCTTTAAATCTGAGCAAGGCTTTAGCTTTCAGAAAGTCTAATGAATCCAGTCCAAAGATTCTGTAGCTGACCTGAGCAAGGTCAGACGTTTTGGACCAAGTCTGAACATGCGGAAGAGGAGGCCACTGGCTTACTGAGGGGTGTTTTTTAACTATGCCTGCATTCATGCTCTATCTTTAAATCATCTCTGAGCTTCATCAAGTTGTCTTATACGTCCACCATTCTGAAAAGGAGTTTTCCCAAGCGTTGTTTACCTTGGCCTGTTGTGGCTTGGCCTGTTTGATGCCATGTTTCCTGTCCAGATTGTTTTAACTGTCCGCTGCTTCCTCTGCATCAGTGATTCTGTGTGATGTTCACTTAGCTTCAGTTCCTGCTTCTTTATATAAGTAACCTCGTAACCTTTTTATCCAGATTTGTGATGCAACCTGAGATTTGATATTCAGGATGAGAAGTCATTATCTTCTTTTGTTTGTAGATGGAACGTCTAAAAACTGAATAGGTTTGTGTTTTTGGTATTGCTTATTTCTTCTGTTTCAGTCACAATTTAATAAGGAGCTTTGTAATTGGAATATCTTCAGGGGGTTTCAAGTTTACTGGCTGAAGAAGAAAATCTTTGTGCATAATTGATCAGTTTAAGAGACAATGTTTTCCAAATATCTACAGGATTATACACATTTTTAGGAGTTAGAATCTCAAGTATTGCCAGAAAAGTAATGTTGGAGATATATACTTTTTTTCTTTGTGGCCCTAAATCAGACTTTCTAAAACTGAAGTAAAATAAAAGAAAAATATTTTAAACAAATGAGCCTAAAACAAAAGTTAAAAGTATGTTTTAGCAACATTTTATTTTTTATGCGTTGGAGTGATTTATAGTTTTTCATATTCTGTTTCTGTGGTCTACCCACTCTTAACATCTCCTCCCACTTACCAAAGATCTTACCAAGATCTCTTTAATATTTATTGAAAATAAGAAAGTTTTAAGAGAATGTTTAAACATCTATAAGAAAATGTGTCATTTCACTAGCTAACGCCCGACCTATTTTCCACATATAAAACTCCTTTTCACCATTGTCACCATAAGCAATCTCAATATATTCTGCATCTCTAATTAAACTAAAAAATCCTATTACCTATTCGTGAACATGGCTTCAAAAGTGCTATGCTAGATTTCTCAAAGACAATGTTTCGTTTTTGCATAAATGACTGTTTTTCTCTTCTTTCTCTTCTCTTTTCTTTAAGCCAAAGTGTAAATGCAGTAGAGCCAATAGAAACGGAGGCAAATTTTAAAAGAGAAAGAAATCGAACAATCTTTGATCTTTTTGGAAAGTGGAAAAAAGACTTGTTTAGACCCACTTCCATTTGAGTTTGATTTCTTTCTTTTACCCCAAAAAATTAAAAAATTTATCTATTTGGAGGTGAAATTGCTAACATATCCTGGGCGTTATTTTAGACGGCACCTTTTTTATCCTTTATGATCATAATGAAACACTTCCTCCCTGCTCTGCACTAGGGGTGGGTATTGCCAAAGAAGTCACGATTCGATTCGAATCACGATTCACAGGCCACTATGCGATTCTATCCCGATGCATCACGATACTTGAATTATTGCGATGCATTGCAATATTTTCTCCTCCATGTTTTGTTTTTGAATGACTCTGCACAGTATCCCGCGGCTGGAAATGCTTGTGACACAAGGCAGCGTGCGTCAACACATTTGCAGCGACATCTACTGGACTGGAAGTTGTATTACACTTGTTTTTGGCTGATGTTTGCCAACCATTCATGCAATTTTATTTATTCATTTTTTAAAATTAATAATCGATACTTGGCGTCAAGAATCGATGCAGTAGATCACGAAAATTAGAATCACGATGCATCATCATGACTATTATTTTGCACACCCCTACTCTGCACTGTGCTTAGACACCTGTCTGTAAGGAGGTGAGCTACCTAGAGTGCAAATGAATAAAAAATCAATACATTTTATGAAACATACAGCAATCATACAGTTTATTTTCTAATAGTAATAAGTCTGCTAAGCTTTTTCCCCTCATGAAAAACTGGAGCTGCATTGTAAAGTCTTACTCGTACCATGTCTTTCGGTTGTGCTGTTCTTTTTTCATCTCATTACAGGTGATGAAGCAGACTGAAAATGTTTTGTCATTTCTATCTCTTCTTTCTTTCATCTTTTCTCTTTTTTTTCTTTTTTCCTTTTTCTTCTTCTGTTTTTTCTGCTCTATTTACATTGCAGTGTCCATATAAACTGTAAAACTTCCTGCATAATTATAATAAAGCAATTTATATGCATGAAACAAGTGGAGGAGTATGGCAGTTGCCATACTGCTACACTTGTGAAAGTAAAATCTGTTGGGCCCATTTTGACATCAAGACAATTGTTCTTATTGCCACATTGCCAGACAGGACACTGTAGAAAAAAGAAAAAAAAGAAAAGAAAAGTCTTACCCGTCATATCACAAATAGTTTATGTTTACATGGCCAAAATTTCATGATCAGATTCAAATATTTATAAACAAAAAGTAATCTGACATAAGTAGTGAAATAAGTACATAAATATTGACATAAGTGATTGTAATGAAATGGCTGATGGGACTAAAAATGTGTCATGTAAACATGAGTCAGAATAATCTGACTAGCATTACTAGCATTCAACGCGGAAATGCGTCACATTGATGCAAACTCACACTGAGGTCAGTTTGCCTCATTCAGAATGACTCCATCCTGTCTTTATGAAAGCTGATTGGCTTCTCAGTCGGCATAAACTAATCGTCACTCAGATTACTAGTTAATTCAGAAATATTCTGAATTTATTTCAACTGACGTGTTTACAGGATTTCTTGTATCATTTTATTTAATGAAAACAGAAAAAAAACTCAACTTTTGCACCGTACTTTGGAAACAGCTTGCAATGAGGACTTTATCCAAAGTCAAAAGTCAAAGTCAAAAAGCCTTTATTGTCATTATATTCTGCAACGGATACAATGAGATTTGGGACTTCCATATCAGCTACCGTGAAATAAAAAAATAAAATTAAAAATATATAAATATATTAAAAGGAAAAAAAAGAGCATCACGTGTTTATTGAAGACTGTAGTCAAAATTCTCAACTCCAATTTTTCTCCAGAAATGAGAAGCAACATTGTCTTGGAAAAAAAAGTAAGAGAATTAATCACCGTTTTGTTTTTTACTGCACGTTCAAGCTACTTTTTAAGCAAAATCAATACATCATTTGGTTGGAAATCTATCTAGATCTGTATATCAGTGATTTAATTTGAAGAGTTAAATAAATCTTGACTGGGACATCACTAGTTTACTCTTTGGTATTATAAATGTTTAGTAACTGAAGCTGTTTACAGGCAGTTTGTTTTTTTTTTGTTGGAGGACACATTCATGTTATTTTGACCTTCTTCCTGCTGTTTGCCACCAGGGAATTTCTATAAAAAACAAGCAATGATACTTTTGTGGGAACTTTATGAATCTGAGGAAGTTTTAAAGTATTTAACTTTTTTTTTTTGCTGATCATTTTATGTTATTTTATAATCCTTACAAAACAGACAGTACTGACAAACAAAAGACGTAACCAATTGGGATATTGGTTTACAAAATAAGAGAAATGGCTAAACAAACAAAACACGTCAGACAAAAACGGTTTGGCATGATGTCACAGCATAGTAATATTTCCAGAGCGAGTGAGACAAGTTATAAATTTGACAAATGATTTATTGGTGAGTTTAAATTAATTTCTCCATTTTTCCCAAGTCAATTTTATCCACCCTTTTGATCTTTTTTAGTATTGATATTTGATTATTTATTTTCTTCAGTTAATCATTTTTTTCATATAGCAGGACTGGGAGGAGATAAAGCAAATAGATAAATGACTAACTAACTAGACCTGATAAGTAAAGAAGGATCACGTGCAGAACTGTGTAGATGTTCATGTTTAGTTGTACTTTATTGTTTTGTGCAACAGTCAGTGCTACTAACAAATGTATTGGAATTTGTTTTTTAGCTAAATTTCGGTTTTATACCCTCATAGATGAATTGATGAGATTAAATTATTTAAAAAATGAAGAAATAGAATCAGATTTCCCTTTTTCCTGGGGGGTTTGTACTTATCAGCAGGATGACAGAAATTATCTACATTTTTTTATAGACAAACTCTTAATTTATGTTTTTTAGATTAGGTCAAAGAATAAAATATCTATTGCTTACGTTGATTACAAAACCTGAAAACAGTTTGGCTCAGCACTGAGAGGAAAAGGTTGTTATTTCTCATAAAACTGGACAACAGGATGCGAGGGATCCCACAGCAGGTCAAACACAATAAACTCCAGAGGAAGAGAGAACGTTTGTGTCCAACAGCATGAGTGTGTGAGGGATCCTTGCAGACCGCTGGGCAGAATGACTCTCTCTTCCTGTCTCCATCCGGATCTCTCGCTCTTCATGTAGACGACAATAGACATCCCATCACACTCGTTTGGATCGTTAATGATGGTGTTTGTTTATTCTATTGCTTTCGTCATCTGCACCAATAGACGGCTTCGAATGTCAGCTAGACCCGTTCTTATATGAACAAGTGGTGATTAAATCACAAACACTTTCTAGGATGAAACATATCAGAAATGATAATATGTGTGCTTTCCAAAGTACATTATCTTTGTTGCTTTTAGGATTGATTTAGCCTTATCTAACTTGATAGTGAGATATATTAGCTCTTTTGCAACCACAGCTGCTTTGGCCGGTTTAAGCCTGTTTAAATCTGTTTGACTTTAGGAGGAATTCACAAATCTGACAATCTCCAAACTTTCCAAGGCCTTGAAATAATGGAGTAATATCTGTATAGTTTT